GCACCCGGGTTAGCCACGCCATCTCTGATGGGTCTCTCTACAAAACCGGTGACGATGTCATCACACAAGACCAACACGGAAAGTCAGCAAAAAAACGAAAAAAGTTGACAACACAGATATAAATGTTTGTCCGTGCGCCACGGGTCGATGTCGCCCGCATGCTCCGGTGCCATTGCTCCATCCGGCGCCGCTGTGGTCAGCCCGAGCAAAACGTCACTCGACCTGCTCCGTCCGTACACGCTCTCGTTGCTGTCCNGCATCTACATTTTCCCGCCTGACCCCATCAGTGCCGACCCAAGTCCACCACCACACGCACGCCTCGCGGCGGATGCGCAGCAGCAAGAAGGTTTCGGTCATCCCTTGAGGGTGAGTCTAGCCCTGCTCGCCAGAAAGACCCCCCCCTTCGCTACAACCCATGTCTAAGCAAAAGATTGTCGAGGAGCGAGGGGAAGAAGGGAGAGTTTATTGTATACCTGTGGAGCTTGGGAATCCGAGACCCTCGGGCTTGGCCTCCCTCGCCCCTTCGGCGGCACTCTCTCTTTTGTCTCTCTCTTCTGAGACCCTCTCCTCTCTAAATCTCAACGAAGAGAACTGCCAGCCCTTAGTAGTGGGTAAAGACTACTGCGACCTGTGCCTCCCCCCAGCGAGGGAAGCCTGTGTCCTTATTGACGTCGACGAATCACACGATATACTCTGTTGGTACAAGAGGTAGAGGTGGAGATGGCGAGAAAGAAGTCAGCCGTGCAACGCGCTCGCGAGAAGGCGGAAGAGGCGGAGAACAGGCAGCTCGAGGAGCAGCAACGACGCTTTAAGCTGGAAGCTGAACTTGAGCAGCTACAGCAACTCCTCGCCGCTCAACACCCGACAACCCCACTGGCACGTAGAACACCCTCGGAACGCGTGCCTGCTTCGCGCCCCTCGGGTGATAACAGACCTCCGGAGGGAAAGTCGGATGACCCCGAGGGTGCCAACCGCGCTAGCAACACCAGCAGTGGTAACGGTGGCGATGATTCGGGCGAGCGCGACAACTTCTTCGGCGGCAATGGTGGAGACGATGATGAGGACGTCCCCCCTGCCGTCGGCCGGGAGCAGCAGGTGGGTTGGGCAGACGACGACGAACCCGAGGAGGAGCCCGAGGTTTTTTCATCTCCGGCTGGCGCATCCATCGTAGAGATGCTGAAGCACCACCGCGATGGGACCGACCCTCCGGAATGGCTCATGTCTATTGCGCTGCCCGCCAGCTCGCGAAAGGTGAATGCTGTAGGTGGTAGCATTACTGCTGTCCGACACGACCCCAACTTTACCAGTGAGGATAGTGCCCGCCCGAACCTCCGGCGCAACCATAGCATACCATCTAATTTTGCTCAACAGCAATCACCCATCCTGTCCCAGCAATTAATTACTAAAACGATTTTTCGCCTAAATCCGTAGAGACCCCACGAGAAATCGACAACACCAGCAGGACTAGCGACCCTCTTGTGATGCCGAATGCCTCACCTACACTCTCTACTGTTCGCACTGATGAAAATCCGTCAGCGCACACCGCGGGTACGTCTGCTCGTTTCGTCTTCAAACCCGCAACCGACCCAAAGATCTTGTTTTCTCAGGGGAACCTGGGCAAGATATTGTAGAACTTTTGGCGCAATACCGTGCGGGTGTGAAACTGAACTCAGTAGACAGCTGCCCGGACCATGTAGTCGACCAACGTGCTGTGCGATACCTCCCGCTTCTTCTGCGAGGGGCTGCGTATGACACCCTGTTGTAGTTGACCCAGGGAACGCTCGAGTGGCGTGACGTAGAGCAGTTGGCTGATCTTCGTGCAAACGGTGCAAGTACTCGGCCGGTGATTCCTTCCTCCTGGGCCGAATACTGTCACGCTCTTTACTTTCAGTTCTCTGCTCCCAACCGCATTTCCATTTGGCCCGACAATTTGCCACGTTGGAACAAGCAATAGATCAGTCCGTGGATACCTACGCATTGGGAGTCACACAAGCACGCGCGCGCCTTATTGCAGAAGCTACTCGATCCGCCCCACCGAATATTAGCCCACACGAACACGCATGGGATGTATTTACCACTGCAACGTTTGAAAACGGGTCAATCCCCAAAATCAGAGTGGAAACTGTTCGAGAAGACGCAACTATGAGTTTTCAAGAAGCTCGTTACCGTGCAAAGAAGCACGAAGCAAACAGTCTCAAAGGCATTTCCTCCACATCCCTCGATACTGCCCACGCTTCGGCTGTCTCACACACTGACCCGCCACAGCTGCGGTCCACGGTGGAGGCTCACACCTCCGAACTCCAGGAGTTGGCTGCTGAGGTCAAGCACCTCAGGTCGCGTGCCGCCACCAAAGCAGCAAACCCCGGGGACCGCCGCAGCGCGCCAGTACAAAGCAACAAAAGCGCACCTCTTCGTACTCGGGGTCCGCACAGACGGAAAAACCAATAACAAAGCCCAAAAGGCATTGTGATTACCCCGGGTGCCCCGCCCCCGACACCCACGACACTGAAAACTGTCACCTTCGCCAGAAAGAGAGGAAGGGTGGATGGGAGTGCCGGCCTCTGACGGGATGACGGGGTCCTTCAAGGGACCCCTCGCCCGAAGGGAACAAAACCACCGATGCAACAGTAGTTGAGAGAAATGAGGTAGTGCGAGATGCCGTACTTTGCTCGACTAATGTTGCCATGAAGGGTGAAAAAACAAGGCATTGCATTTTGTATCGGGCACGAGAATTGGATAGAACTTCAGGCCGAGTTATTGATAGGATTAATTCTGTTACACGAAAGGAGGTTGTAGAATCGGTAGGTTCTCCTCTGGTAGCAGAAACACCTAGAAAGGCACCACGTAAGGGACTAATTTTCAGTAGTGCAGGGCAACGCCGAAAAGGGAATATACTCGTATCAGACCCTTAGCAGTGGCCCCGCAAGTACGACATGTTCCGTCTGCAGAGCCTTTGAATAAATAATATAACCCATGCGGGTTTTCGCGTGCGTTGCGTCGCAGTTCACGATTTGCAGCTTTTCACGCATCTGCGTTGAGTAAATATCCGAAACTTCCAACTGCATTGAATTCCGCCTCGAAACGGGTACAAATTCCCGCTCGAGTGAACAATTACTCTGTGTCTGATATCATAATCGACACAGCCGCTGATGTACCTTGTGTGTCAGCAAATTTTTCGTAAGAGCACCCCGCACTAAAAATATAAAGCTTTGTCCAGTACCACCTGGAGCGATACAATAAAAAAGTGCTGACGGGTCACCTCTTGAGATTTTGGGATACCTACGGTTCAATCTCACTCTCCCTTCTTCCCCTCGCTCCTCGACAAGCTTTTGCTTAGACATGGGTTGTAGCGAAGGGGGGGGTCTTTCTGGCGAGCAGGGCTAGACTCACCCTCAAGGGATGACCGAAACCTTCTTGCTGCTGCGCATCCGCCGCGAGGCGTGCGTGTGGTGGTGGAGTTGGGTCGGCACTGATGGGGTCAGGCGGGAAAATGTAGATGCGCGGGCCTTTCTGGCCGTCGGCGTTGGCAGTGATGCCCATCTCATTTTTGTGCGCGGAGGCAGACATCATCAGAAAGGTGGACGGGCACTACACGGCCCTAGGTTTGCTAGAGGGAGCTGTATTGCCTCAGTAACCTGGCTTCGCCATCAA